GGCTCTACTGACTTCAAGAATATCCTGATTAGATGTTGTTATTTCCTTTGTGGCTTAAATAACCATATATTAATCTGAATTTGAAACCATTGGTTCCAACCTCTTTTTAAATTTCTAGAAATTGCTAACCACTAGCTTAGTAACAAGGATAAAGCTAAATTCATCATTCTGTTTTTCAAGATTGCAGAATAAATGAAACTTCAGAAACAGAAGATAAATTTAGCTCACATTACACCGACTGACAATGTTCAACTCAGTGGTATCAGCAAAAAATACACAGGTAGTAAAGATGACAAAGCAAAGTTCTGATTGAATGCATGACTTACCAACAGAGAAAAACTGCGGGGTCAGACAACAGCCTCATAAGAATTCGGAGTAGGATTACTTTTATAGGGAGTCTCTATTCATTCTTGTTTAAAAAATGAAGATCTGTTAGCTTTAAAAACCTAATTGTTAAGCAAGGTCTTTGATATTCTGAAAGATCTTATCATGATGTCTCAAAAAATAGATTCTTCTAAGACCATTTTGTAAGGCAATTTTATAACTTCATTGAAATTGACAGCCTGCACTTACTGTGAAGTGTGTGTTTTAATGAATTAAATCATTCTAAGTTGGATTCATAATCTTTAAAGTCTAATACTATGCCTTTAAAACAGCTGTTCCATTTGACCGAAAAAGGCAGCAATACTATTGTTAAGTGTTTCATATGTTTTAAATAAAGCAGGATTGTCTATTGTTTAGTAATTTATTCTTTTGATGGTGACGAGAAAAGAGAGCTGCCTGCTTCATTGCTAGAGAAATCTCAGGAAGCACTGAGTGGCTAATCGATTTTTAGGTCTGGGATATTGCCAACTTACAGGGTAGACTGTGTTGAATTTGAAATGCAAACACTGAAAATATTTTAATGGGAAGCATTATAATGACCCCATTCTCATAAAATGCTGCTTTCTCTCCATTCTCCAATAGCAGACCAATCCCTTCAGGCTTTATTTAGCCAAGTTCTCACTGGCAGCTGTGAAATGCTTCACAAAAGGGCAGAAGGACTGTAATTCATTTAAACAGAGTCATTTTGCACATATGTAAATGTGGCATGCATTTATTTTTGTCATGAGATGGCTGGTTAAGGAAATAGTGGAGAGATAAGAAGTAGGAATGGTGTAAAGCTGCATTTTGGCACTTCTATATGAGTCAGCATCTGTTTAGACCATATGAGAGGCTTAATCTTGGTGATGGTCATACATGGAGTGTAGAGGGGAATGCTTTCTTGTGGGTGAACAGAAACCAAGGGAAACTCGAACCACTAAGTACTTTAAATTTTTATAGAATGAGAGCAGTCTCGGATATCTGGAGTAAATGCACACAATTTACTGGAGAGGCTTGCACACAATTAAATGAAAGGGTTCAACATACATGTCTCTTGAGTGCCATTGAGAGCCACCATTCTTTTGTCCTTATCTGTGAGTTTGTTTTGCTTATTGCTTTTTGTTCTATATCCCATGTGTGAATGGAATCATATGGTTCTTGTCCCTTCTTGTCTGGTTTATTTTACTTAACATGATCCTTACTTAGCACCCATGTTGTCACAGATTGTAATATTTCATCTCTTTTATGGCTGAGTAGTATTCCATTATATAGGATAATGGAATGTAATGGATGATATACAAAATCACCTGTCAGAGGACACTTAGGTTGTTTCCATGTCTTGGCCATTATGATGTTGCCTCAAAAGGAAGGTGGGAAAATGATGGAGAGGGTGAAGAGGGTCAAATACATGGTGATGGAAGGAGACTAAACTTTGGGTGGGGAGCATCCAAAGGAGCAAGGATACAGATGTTGTATTATAAAATTGTGCTATTGTACCAGAATGTGTCATAGTGGTGCACTGGACCCTGCTCCTCTGTAGCTGAAATTTATACAATGTTATTAACCAATGTTACCAAATAAATTCAATTTTTTAAAAAATAGTATAGCACTGTGTTTGGTGCTGGGCATAAAGCTCCATCAAACAGAGCTTCCCTCATAAGGACCACAGGACAGATGCAGCCAGAACGCCATCCTCCAATTGCATATAAAATACTTTCTTCAAATTCATTACATATCACCTTTGAATAGTTTAATTTTAGCATGATAGTCCCTTCACTCTTGTTACAATTACCATTTTCTTAGTATCATTACTCTTTTTAAAAAGACTTTAATTTTTAATTTTTTTGTTTTTTCTTTATTGTTGTTCAAGTATAGTTGACTTTAGTACCATTAGTCTTATTTCTCCATTCCCACCTATTTTTATTAACTCCTTAGCTATATTCTAGTAACTGCATCACAGACTGCTGAGTCATGAAGCTGGTAATTGTACAAAAGTGGGAGTGTTGTCCAAGAGATTATACACGGCACTGTGAAGTGAATGGTGCATTTGAGCAGATACATTTAAACCCAGATTGGTGCAAAAAAAGTGCTTTAGGCACAATGATTAATTACAAAAATTCTGGTTGTAAGAAAGGCTTACAATGTGGAGTTGAGGACCACCTATAAACTAGATCATTTTAATTTGTCCAATGTGGTAAGGTAGACATTAGAAATGTGTGTTGCATAGCTCATGGAATTGGGAAAGTTATTAAAAACAATAAAATCCATAATCTCATAGAATTTAACAACTGAATAATTTAATTGGTTGATGATTTAATAAAAAGGTGTGCAAATAGAACACACTAATAAAGTAAAATCACCTGATAATGAATTTTGAGGCTTTTCCACTTGGCATGAATTAAAAATTCTCAGCTCCACATAAGCATTTGGAAGTCAATATTTCTTATTGCAGAGGTGTCAAACTCATTTTCACTGGAGGCCACATCAGTCTTACAGTTGCCTTCAAAGGGCCGAATGTAATTTTAGGACTGTGTAAATGTAACTACTCCTTAACTAGGGGCAAGGAGATTGGCGCTACCGCTGGGTAGAAACAAGGTGCTAGGCTGGATTCCGTCCACAGGCCTTGTGTTTGCCACCTGTGTCCTATTGCCTGTCATTTAGTTTGGTGGTCCCCAAACTTCTGAGTATGGGATTTCTCATTTGCTAGTGGTGGTACCCTTGGCTCTTCAGTCTGTAGACACTACCTGGTATAGATATACTGGATCCGAGTGTTTTGTGTGCTAATTCCATGACCTGTGCACAATGAGAAGAGCAGTGGCCTGAGAGCCAGTGTGTCCTCCTCTTACTTTTTGACTGCAAAGTGAAACTGGATCTCCTCCATACATGTAGAGAAAATGCATGATTCAAGGAGAGACAATTTAGTGTCTAAGAATTACCTAGGTATTATCTGGAAAAGAAATAAGGGGAGAGTTCATTATTGTGTATAAGATAAAACATCTCAAGGCCTGAGTACTGAGTGCCCTTGCTTGTCTTGGAAGCTATCAATTTTTAAAGCTTCCATAAGATTTGACATAAATATGACAAGGGATTAAGAGATTTCCATTCTAAAAGGTTGTAAGTATAGTTAATAGTAATTTGTCCTACCCGCTCTCCTTTCATCTCTCTCCCCTTTGAATTTCTTAGCAGGGTCAGTTAAAAAATTAATGTGAATTTCCGTCTCCCTCCTTCCCTTTCTTCTTTCTGTAAACATGTATTAAGCACCCACTGGCTCCAGGGATTCTGGCTAGGGGCTTAGAGTAAAGGGGAGAAAAAGCAGAGTCAAGTGTATAAATAACCTAAACCTAAAAAAATTAGAGCAGTCTCTTTTCCTACCTCTTGGATTTAGAAAAAAACTTCTTCAATAAGTAACCATAAAGAAAAAAAAACTATCAAAACTAAGAACTTTCACAGAGCAATGTAATGATAACAACAATAAGAAGAATTGCTAGGCACTGATAAGCATGTATCAACCCAATCAGTAAGGTGGGTTCAATGATTGTTCCAGTCTCACAGATGGGAAATATGACATATACAGATGTTAAGTAACTTCCTTGAGGTTATGTGGTTAGTCCATGGCAGACACCATAAGCAAGGTTGAAAGACAAGAAACAGATGGACAAAGGGTATTTGTAGATTGTGCAGACAAGAATTAATTTTGCAGTCTGTATAAAAAAAACTCCTATAGTTCAATAAGAAAAGTACTGGCTGATTCAAAAAGGAGCAAAGCAATTTAAAGTCAAGGAAACACAAATGTCTACTATGCATATGAAAATATGCTCAACATCACTGACTAGGAGAAAAATGCAAATGAGACAAATTAAGATGGCAGTTTTTATCTGTCAAGTAGGCATAAAGGAACAGATGTGACAGTCTCAAGCTTTTTTAAAGATATTTTAAGGCCATATATTAATATGCCGTCAGGTGGGAGTAGATTTTGGTTGCATCCAGACAAAAATGAAAAGAAGCATACCCTAATATTTCATAATTTTACTTCAGGAAGTGTATATCCAGTGCTGTGCCGGTAAAGGTTTAATAAGTGGCTTTCCGGTTGGGGCACAGGGAGTTTGATTTGTAGGTTTGCCATTTTCCATGGTGTAAATGCTTCTGCTGTGGTCATGACAGAAGGCAGAGTAGGAAAGATGTGCATCATTGGCTCTCAGGAATCACTGGCGCTGGGCCCAGTGCACCGTGAGGACACATTCTGGAGCAAGAGCACAAGATACATGAGTAAGCATATTCACTGAAGATCATCGGTAGCAGAAAAAAATCTAAAGCAAACTCAATACCCAACAGTAGATGAATAATTATATGAATTGTGAGCATTTGTGATAAAATCGTATTACAGTCAAAAGCTGAGTTGCAATATTTCTACATATATTACTATAGAATTGTGTCTACTCATATTGGGATAGTTCTCAAAACATAATGTGGAGTGATACAAATAAATCACCTGATAATATTGTCACATCATTCTATAGTATAAAAACATACAATATAATAACAGATATTTTGAATTATTTCTGTATATTGAAGTGGAAAATGGACTAGATGGATATACATCAGAGTTATACTTGCCTTTGGAGTGTGGTAGGAGATAATCATATGGGGGGAAGGTGTGATACTGATTAAAGGCTGTATTAGTAGTATCCGTAGTGTTACTTCTTTTCTGACAGCGTGCACCATTAGCTTCTTTGCATAGTGTATGGAAAAACTCTAAAAAAGATTCCTATATCTCTAATTTATGAATTTGTCAGTTGACAATGCATTGTTCTTAATAGCAACTTTTCTGGAACCAAAAGAACATTATCACATTAAAAACACGTATCAATGGTAAGACTTATCTCAACGTCAGAAACATTAAAATGCTTACTTAAGTGTGCTCCAAATGAAGGAGTATGGTAATTCAGCTGGCTGAGAGGGTGTAGCAGCTGCCAGGCATAGCATTTCATTCCTTTCTGGTAATAGATATATGGTTTAATAACACAAAATTACTAATATATCTAGAGGTATATTAACCATTCAATATTTCAATAGAATAGAATAGAATAGAATAGAATAGAATAGAATAGAATAGAATTAATATAAATATCAAGGATTGTGTGTACTCAGGACCTGTGCTTGACATGAACCTTTCTGTTAGAGTTTTCCAGAAACTGCCAATCTCAACCACTTGGAAACTTGGCAGCGACACAGAGGTAAGCAAAAATGCCTCTTAGTGGCAAATTCCGAAGGCTTTGTCATAGGAGATGTGCCTTTCCCAATACAATTTCATTGAAAGTGAGGGAGAAGATGGGAAACAGCCCCGAGGAGAAATGATTGCCTGTGACGGAGATGAGGAACAACTGCCGCCTGAGACCGTGAAAGCCAGCAGCCAGGCCATTTAGCGTAAATGCAAACTGTGCTCCACGTTGCAACGACTCTGGAAGTCCTTGAAGTATAAACTCTTTTTATGCATTTGTTTCCTGTTCTCTTGTTTCACCAAACACAGACAACACAATAACCAAGGTTTTTAATCTTGCCTCAGGCTCATCAAGAAAATGCAAATTTTTCTTCAGAATGCTTAGAGATGCAAGATTTAGAAATATTTTTCTAAAGTCTTGCCTTATTGTGGAACGCTCTCTGAAAATGCCAGGGAAATGAGACATTACTTTATTCAAAAAAAGAGTTCATATTTATACATAGTCTATGCTGTCCTGCATCATTCTGAGAAGTAAGCATTTTTTTAAGCAAGTGATGTATCGTTTTTCCATAAGATATCAGTTTGTTCAAAGAGTTTTAATTTTAGTCTTGTCATATTGTTTTCAGTTAGGGGATGATGGAATTGTCAGCCCCTAACTGGTGAAATGCCAGGGCCACAAAAGTCTTGAAAAGACTTGCTTTCTTGTCTGTGCAGAGTCCACTTCTGGCAATGAAGTCCAGGTTTCCCCAAGCTCCCTGTTGCCACATTCTCATGTCAAATGACATGAGGCCATGCAGACTTTTTTCAGAGTAGGAAGTCTATTTGTTGTTGTCTGAGAAATGGTGTCAACAGGGGTTCCCATTTATGCCGATATCCAGGAAATTGAATCTTTTGTCAAGAGTTCACGGTGCTGGTTCCTGAGTGGACCTTTCCCTCTTTGGAAAAGCTGGGAAGTGACCATAACAAAATCAAATGCAAAATCCTGAAATTAAAACAATCCCCTATGTTGTCATTGACTCAGCATGGAGAGAGGCATGATGGGACAGGTACAGCATAAAAAAAAAAAATGGAACTCCAGGAAGCCTGCAATCGATTTGAAATTTCCTTCTTGGGAAATTACCCTGCAACCAGGGTAGAAATGCCAAAGAAAACACAGGACTCCCAAATATAACAGTTGGAACATAGATTTAAAAATGTTGTCTTTTATCTAAAATTCTAATTTATCTAGACACTTCTACTGTTCTTTGCTAAATCTGGCAACACCGTGGTAGGGACCTACCTCCCCTTTCCAATCCACAACAAAGAGGCTCGAGAGAGGCAGCCCCTTCCTCCCCTGAGACAAAATGGCAGGAAGATGTCTCGCCCCTCCTGCTTTGTACTTTAACGTAGAAAGGTCTTATGCCAACCAAGTCCTAGAAAACAGCTATTTTGCTTGCTTTGTGCTCCTTCCCTGCCATAGTGCATTGGAATTCCTTTCTTCAACAAAATAAACCGTATTTTTTTGATGCCTGCAAAACATGCACAGCCATGTCAAACAGTGAAATGTTTCAAATATATGTGAGATTCCTGTTTGTTTTTTCAGCAGAATAACACCCATTCTGTCTTCTATTATATATGTACACATATATATGTGTATATATGTACACATTTGCACCTAGATATTAAGTTGTATGTGTGCTTATATTTATGTATTCATAAGTCTTTTACTAGAAATTATGCTTTCAACCCAAGTCAGTAAAACGCTAATTTGTGTGTGCACATTTACTCGGCATCCACTAACTGCCCCACATTGGTGGTTTTGGGACATGGAGGCAGGACAGGCACATTCTGTATTATTATAGACCTTAACTGTGTCACAGAAGTGGTCAATTTACAAAGTTTACTATAATGTGTGATTAATAATAGGATGGGGAGGTACAAGACAGTTCTGGTTAGAAAATAATTTGGAGGAGAGAGGGGGAAAAGGTATGGAAAATAAGTAGCATAGATGGTTCGTAGAAAATAGACAGGGGGAGGATAAGAATAGTATGGGAAATGTAGAAGCCGAAGAACTTATAAATATGACACATGGACATGAACTAAAGGGGAGGAATGTGGGTGGGAGAGGGTGTGTAGGATGAAGGGGAATGAAGGTGGAAAATGGGACAACTGTAATAGTATAATTAATAAAATATATTTTAAAAAGAAAATAATTTGGACCTTTTTGTGTGATTAAAATACGTTTTTGTCTTGTACTTCAAGACTAGCATTGAGTGAGTTTTTAAGCATTTATCCTTTGTGCCCCTAGGAAGAATTCTCTAATATGAGACAGTGGGAATTTGGAATGTAAGCCAATATCTCATGGTCGTCTGGGGGTCCTATCTGAGTGCTTGTGTTTGAACTGTAACACACCCATTAGATTACTAATGAAATTATTTTAGAAATTAAGACAAATATAGTAACAAATTACTTTCTTCTTTGTAATCTAGCAAAAGGAAAACAGATCTAGGAATGAAAACCCAGCCAGGATTTTGAAGAGAGCAGTTTAATTAAAAAGCCCAAGCTAAGCTGTGGGGCTTCTGATGAAGTGTGTGTGTGCATGTGTGTGGCTGTGAGATAAAAGCTGCCTGAGGATTACAGGATGCTAATATTATTGACTTTGCTTTGGAGACTTAATCTTGCATGGGGACTGGCTTCTATTACAACACAATGATCCCTTACAGTGGAGAAAAAACTAAGATTAATGAAATGCTATCTTGGCACTAGAGTTACGTAAAACATATCTGCAACTAGAGTTCTGAATAGTGTTTGGTATGTGCATGGGGAATTCATTGGAGTTTGTTTTACATTAGCATGTAACTTTGAATCACTCTCTCTGAGATTCCTTTTTTTTAATCAATAAAAAATTTTGACTGATTGGTGAAAGACTGAGTCAGATTATTAAGTACAACTGCAATTACCTCTTCCCAATTGATTCATGTTGGAGAGAAACCCAAGGTTTACACAAATAAACCTCAGCCAGAAACATGAAATTAGGGCTGAGACTTAGTTTCCATCCAGTCTTGTTAGGCTGTAACTTTTTTACATCATTTTCAATTATTTTGAAGAGTTACCTTGCAAAAAGTGAATATATCATTTTTACAAATTGAGTTTATTTCTTTATTACTTTCCTTAAACATACCACTCCTACACTAGAGCAATATTATCTAGGTGTATAGATTTTCAAATCAAAAGTTTAGGAAGATCTAATAAACTTGATAGAATTTTTAAAATACCTATTAACTGAAAACTACTAAAATTCTTTTACACACACATTGTATAATTAAAATTAAAGCCTATTACATGGAAACCATCTTCTCCCAGAAAGAAAAAGAGCTTTTTCCTGAGTGTGCATTCTTAGAAACTATTCCATTAAGAGCAGATTTTTTTTTCATCTATTTTGATCACTGCTTTATCCACAGCAAGTACAGTAGTGACTAGCTCATAAAAGGCACTCAATAAACACTTGTTGAATGACTTCTTAAGTAAAAAATGAAAAGATGTACTTGGAAAGAGGAGAGAGGAGGTAAGTGGCCTTGTCACAGAACAGACCTAGGGGGAGGGGCAAATAATATACTATTACCAAATGGACCCACCCTTATGCTCCAGGAAGTCCCCCACCTTGTACTAGATTCGCCTTGCCCTCTGCCAGGGGAAGATGTCTCTCAATGCCAGAGATTGGTAAAAAAGAAAGGGATTATTTATTTAAAGGTTATACAGCCTTAGAGTAATGACTTAATGTCTTCATTAAAAATACTCAAGTCCTTTGGAATACTTACAAATGCACAGTCCTTCCTTCTTTCCTTTGCCCAGTCCGGGGTACCGTATTTCAGGAAAAGAAGTCCGTGGTTCAGGCAGCCCCTCGGTTCTGGCACCATCAGCTGTGTCACCGCTGCGATCTCCAGTTAATCCAAAACCATGTGGCACCTTCTCATGGCCCACCAGCAAGAATCCTTTCACCCCTTTTCTTCCAGGCAAAGTTTCTCCTGCTTTCTAAGCCATGTGGCAAAAAGGGCACACCCTGAAGCTGCACAGTCCCAACTTTCACCAAAGCTTTCAGGGTCCAAACCAGGCAGAGATGCTGCACCTGGGTTTAAATCCCAGCACCAAACTTCCTCTGCAGCCCCATTTCCGACTCCTCCCACAATCAGTCACACCTGCCAGCATTCCCCTTTTCTTTCAGCTTTAAGAGACTGTCAAGGTAAGTCTGGGCAGGTGTGGCCCCATGGTGTGGAGCCAATCATCTCCAAGCTGTCATGCAGGTGCTATACCCAGAGGGAGTTGCCTCCCAGTTATGTCTTGGGTTGAAGTCACTCCCAGCCAGCTGGCTCAAAGCAAGGTCACAGCTGTTTAACATATCTATGAAACCAGTTAAAGGTTAAATGACCATTCTAGAGGTTATCTGCAAAACTGTTGCTATTCAAAACAGCTCTGAAGGACCCTGCTCCATGTGTCCCATCCCCCAGGTCACACTAGTGGGGGTGAGGACATCTTATATATATTTTTTCTAATATTTCCTAGACACCTTGAGTTCTGGACTCCATTACAAATCCCCATTTAGGGGTCCCCCCTTGGCTGCACCCTGTTACAGCTTCTCCTTTTTCCCCTCCCTTGCTCTCTTTTTCATCTCTGTATTCAATAAACATTAAGTGAGTGACAGCTATACATCAGTGTATGTCCTACACTCTAGGCAGATGGTAGTGAAGTAGACAAACAGCATATCTAGCCTCTAAAACATCAAGTAGTTTAAATCACTTTGTGTGCTAGATGATTATGTGTCTCTGAGATTTAGGTATCTGGCAATCTGGAGCTAAGATGGTCGATGGCACATAAATACACCCTAACCCCTGACCTGAGCTTCCACAATGTTAGCACCATCTAATGGGCACCGCTGGTGACAGCTGTGTGAACAAGAACTGGAGGGGTATATAAGATTACGCAGCAATAGTCATTAAGTATATTTGTGGCAGTCAGTGAACAAAAGAGCATTTTCATGTTTGCAAAGTTATAAAAATGACTTTATTACATGCAATGTATTATTTTTCCCAATGGTAAAAATTGTCCTTAAAGGTTCATTGTTTCCATGTTGTACTGAAGTCAGTTCTCATTTTGACCTCAATCCTTCTGCCAAATCTCCCTATCCCCTCAATCTAAAGGCACTATATTCCCAGAAGACTCTACTAATTTTTCCCTGCCTGTAAGCCTTGCTAAATCTTCTCAAGTTTTATTGTGTAACATTTGCATACATAAAATATATATATAATATGTATGTGTTTTGAAGCATAACAATAAAATGAACAGTGATTCTCCTCCTTTCCCTCACAACATTACCATTGCCCCTACCTGTTTGTTGCTTTTCCATTCTTGTTTCTCAGCTTTTGTTTGTTGTTCTCTCTCTCCCTGCCTGGAATGCCTCCTGCTCCTCTGTTCTCAAGACTTCACCCTTCAAAGCTCTGGTCATGTAACAGGGTGCAGTCAAGAGGGGAGCCCCAAATAGGGATTTGAAATGGGGTCCAGAACTCAAGGTGTTCAGGAAATGTTAGGATGTCCTCACCCCCCCACCCCACAGGTGTGGGTTGGGGGAAGGGACAAATGGAGCAGGGCCATTGAGAGCTGTTTTGCACAGCAACAGCCTTGCAGCTAACCTCTGGCATGGTCATTTAACATATCTATAACCTTTAACTGGTTGCATAGATATGTTAAATAGCTTTAGCCATGCTCTGAGCCAGGGGAATGGAAGTAACTTCCCCACCAAGCTGTAACTGGGGGGCAGGTTCTCCGAGTTACAGCGCCTGTGTGGGAGCTTGGAGAAGATAGGCTCAATGATATGGGGCCACACCTGCCCAGACTCAGGATGGCAGCCCAGTAAAGGTGGAGGGATATGAGAGGGCTAGCAAGTGTAGCTGATGGTGAGAGTGTTACAGAACAATACAAGGGGGGCCTGGGACGATATACTATTACTGAAAAGAACCCCCAGGTCCGTTATGTCCGCCGCCTATAGGAAATATGTCTCTCAATGCCAGAGATTCATGAAAAGGAAAGGAAATGTTTATTTAATGCTGTACAGACTTAAAGTAGTGACCTAATGTCTTCATCAAAATCCCAAAGTCCCTTAAAACACCCAAAAACACAGTCCTTCCTTCACCTTTTGCCCAGTCTGCGGTACGTTATCTCAGGAAAGGAAATAGAAGTCCACGGCTCAGGCAGCCCCCAGTTCTTCCCAGCAATCCATCTCGGCTGGTAGACCTCCCTCGGTTCCCGGCACCCTCAGCTGTGTCACCAGGATCTCTGATCCAGCCACATGGTCCTCTCTCTCAGGGCCACAGGAGCCCCACTCAGCCAAAACCACGTGCTTCTCCCCTCAATGACTGCAGAAAGAAGGGTCGCCACACTGCCAAAGCTGAGTGGTGGTTCTCTGCTAAAGCCGCATGGTGATTCTCTCTTGCAGGGCTTCGGGAGTCTCTACTCTGCCAAAGCCATGTGGTTCTCCCTCCAATGGCTGCCATGTCTGGGTTTAAATCCCTGTGCCAATCTTCCTCTGCAGCCCCATTTCCGACTCCTCCCACACTCAGCTTCACATGACAGAACTCATATCCTTCCAGCTTTACTGGGCTGCCATCATGAGTCTGGGCAGGTGTGGCCCATGTCATGGAACCAATCATCTCCAAGCTCCCATGCAGGCACTGTAACTCAGGGGACCTGCCCCCCTAGTCACATCTTGGGTGGGACAGTCCCTTTCTATCCCCCTGGCCCAGAGCACGGCCATAGTTATTTAGCATATCTAAGTGACTAGCTGAAGGCTATGGGTATGTTAAATGACTATGCCATGGATTAGCTGCAAAGCTGCCCTGCATGTTCTTGCTCTGTGTGCCCCTTCCCCCAACTCACACCTGTGGGGGAAGGGGTGAAGACATCTTAAAATCTCCTGGATACCTTGAGTTCTGGACCCCATTTCAAATTCCCATTTGGGGTCCCCCTCTTGGCTGCACCCTGTAACAAGAGGAGTTGGAATGGGGTTGCAGAGGAAGATTGGCGCAGGGATTTAAACCCAGACGTGGAATCCACTGTGGGGAGAACCACACGACTTTGGCAGAGTGGGGACTCCTGCAGCCATTGTGCAGAGAGGACCACACAGCTGGGGCAGTGGAGAGAGAACCTCATAGCTTTGCCAGAGGGGGGACTCCCGCAGCTTTAGAAGGGGGAACCACCACCCGGCTTTAGCAGAGATGCCGGGGACACAGCTGATGGTGCCGGGAACTGAGGGAGGCCTACCAGCCAAGCACAGATTTCTGGGAAGAACTGGGGGCTGCCTGAGCCGTAGACCTCTATTTCTTTTCCTGAGATATGGTACCCCAGACTGGGCAAAGGGTGAAGGAAGGACTGTGTGTGTTTGTGGGTGTTTTAAGGGACTTTGGGATTTTGATGAAGACATTAGGTCACTACTTTAAGTCTGTACAGCATTAAATAAACATTTCCTTTCCTTTTCATGAATCTCTGGCATTGAGAGACATATTTCCTATAGGCGGCGGACATAACAAACCTGGGGGGTTCCTTTTGGGTAATAGTATACCTCTTTCACCACCCTCCCTTGACCCCTTGTTGTTCTGCAACAGTCAGGCACTATTTTCTTCATGCATCCCATAGCTTCCCCTTCCCTGAGTCTTCATAGCACCTGTGGGTTGTTCTGCTCATTGGGCTTTTCAGTATATGCCACCTTTGCCATGTGGTGCTCCCATGTCTGTTCACCAGCTTGACAGGGCCCTGCAGGTAAGGACTTGCCTTCTCCCACAATGCACTTGCATTACACTTTATAATGCCTGACCATTGCCACTACCCTAGATGGAACATTCTATTGCCCAGGTGAACAGCATAGTGGATAGAACAACAAGGGAGATTTCAAAACCTGTGTTTAATTCTAGATCTGTAATCCTTAGTAGGCGTGACCTTAGGTAGTGTAGTTAACTTCCTGGGCTGTGAAAACCAAAGGACAATAAACCTAAAAATCCTGCATATGTTGGTTTGTAATGTTTGCTTCTCTGGCTTATGTAGGGTATGTCCATGCTTAGCAGCAGATTCACGACTTTCTAGGTGTCACCAAGAAACACTGGCTGTGACATATGGGGCAGCCTTGAGCTCCTGGGCAGGAGTCTTTCACCTAATCATATCTCTATAATTTTTGAATTATGGAACTCATATTCTCTAATCACCTTGGGGTGCTAGGGATTGATGTTTCAGTTTAATTGAACCACATAATTTGCATAATTAATAAGTTGAGAACATTGAATAGCAGGTCTGGTTCAGATTTTAGAGTTTCCAGGCAGGCAACCAAAAACAACTGGGATGGAATTTCGAGGAAAGGATGGAGACTAAGTATTTGTTATGGGAAACACAGTCTAAAGATAGATGACTCCCACACATTATGTTTATTATATAAAATGTCACCGCATTAAGAAATAAATTCCTTTAAAACACTGGAAGCAAAGACTGTGTTTACATATCCACAAGTGATTATTGATATCATTCAAAAAAATTCATTTGTATTTCAGAAACTTTGAGTTGAAATGGACAATAGATTCTCACCCATTGCATCAGTTTTCAGGGCGGAAGTCGAGGCCCATTAGGTCTCTGTGGTTTGTCCAGGTTTACAGGTCTAGTGAATGCTGAGCCTGGGCTGGATTCTGGTTGTTCTGAACCTGAGCCCTGGGTCCTTTCCATGCTGCCCTTGGATTTCTATGTTTTTAAATATAGTTTTTTTCCAAACTTTATCATGTTCATTAATCTCTCATGTCCCTTATGCAGATTACAAAACCAGGGAAAGCTGGACTTG